CAAGCGCACAGCAATGACGTAGAGAGCATAGCAACCACCCTGGGAGGGCCTGTGGGCCATAACAACCAGTTGACCAATCAACACAGGGCACGCTCTCCAAGCCTGGAGGCACGCCAATCGTGAGCCTGTGCGCACCCCTAAACACTCCCCTTACGCTGCCCTATAAGATCTTTCGGGAGCCCCTAGGAGCCGTCTTTTCTAGCTATCCGCCATGGCGGGTGGGTGAAAGACCCGAGCTAACATGGGGTTAGCTCGTTAAATTACAATAAAGCCTCGTGCAGTTTGCAGCAAGCTCTCAAATCCGCCTGGTGATTGATTGGGGTGACTGCAAATGTGGCCTGGGACCCCGGATACTTGAGTTTTCGGGGGTCTAACAATGGTAGTTCACAACCATCTAACTCCAGTTCCAGGGGATCTGAAGCCTGTCCTGGAACTCACTTTGTAGACCAGGCTGGCCTCAAACTTCCTGAGATTCGACCGCCTCTGCCCCCCAAGTTCTGGAATTAAAAACATGTGCCACCACCGCTCAGCTTTTTTTTTTTTTTTTTTTTCAAACTTTTTATTACCTGGGTGCTGGTGACTGAACTAAGTTGTCAGGCTTATTCAAACAAACGCCTTTTACATACTGTGTCTGAGTCCCTGTCCTAACAAAACAAGTGTGGTGGTTCATGCCTGTATTTCAGCACTCTGGAGACTGAACCAAGATTAAAGTCAGACCAGCAGTGGGCTACAGAGTGTCAAAAAGAAGCAAATAGCCAGGCTTGGTGGCTCACATCTTTAATCCCCTCACTTGGGAGACAAATGCAGAGAGATCTCAGTGAGTTCAAGGCCAACCTGGTCCACAGAGTTGCAGGACAGCTAGGACTGCACACCTTGTCTCAAACACAACAAAAAAGGAAGTAGGAGCTGGAGAGATGGCGTACTGGTGGAGAACACGTACCGCTGCTGCAGAGGACTGGAGTTTTGAGTGCTCACAGCAGGTCAGGTGGCTCACAGCTGCCTGTGACTCGACTCCAGCCTGCTTGGCCGCTGTGGGCACCTCACTTGTGCACACACTTCCACAAAATTAAAAATAAAAATAAGTGTTTCTTAAAGTAAAACCTGAAAGGCTGTTTTGATACAGTTTGATTTGCTGGTAGGTTCTGTTTTTCAAAACTTGTGATTGGTAAGTCTCTCACGTAAGACCGGTACGGACTGGCAGGGCACCCCAATGGTAGCATACTTGTATAACATGCATTGCCCCGGCCCTCGGGGCTCCAGTAATTTGTGAGTCCAAGGTGGATCAAGCCTGAAAATAATGGGTGGGAAAGAAAGAGCAGGACCAAGCAGGTTTTGTCAAGGCCCAATTTTATTGAAAACCAAGGGGCTTTTTAAAGAGAAAGGAGGAAGCAGAGAAAAAGGAGGTGAGGGGAGGAATGAATGCTAATTGCTCTCAGACAGGTATCCGGAATCTCCTATGTTTATCTCAAGCACTAACTAAGGAAATGGGGGAAGGTGTTATTTGTTTCTCTGTCCTGGAGCCTGAGGGGTGGGATGCTAGGCTAGCTGGCAGCTAGCTAGGCATGGGAGGTCGCCAAGGCTGGCTTCTGACAATGCATGAATCCTTGGATTTGCTTCCCAGTACTACATACACTGCACATGGTACATGGTGGCACATACCTGTAAATCCCAGTACTGGGGAGGGAAGGACTGA